CGCGCGCTAATGCTAAAGAGCGTAACTTTGAAGCCTCTTAACTCGAAAAGTACTTAACGAAAAAATACTTAAGTATAGTGTTTTGGAAAGCTCTCGAGATAAGCTACAAGAATATACAATAAAAAATGGGGGTATCTATTTAAAAACATCATTGTGATCTTGACGTGATCTTTATGACGCAACTCAAGGTCAAACTGCTAATATCATAAAATAGATCTTTTTAAACCCTACAACTTTTGTATTTAACATTTTTTTATACAATGCTTTGTTTTCGAGATATTCAGGTGTTCCGGTATATAATATTCACCCTGTATATAATTATATATAATTATATATAATTATGTATAATTATATATATAAATTCATATATAATTTTACATAATTACGCATAAATTTATATGTAATTATACATATTGTTATACATAATTGTTTATAATTATATATAATTTTATGATTATATATAATTATACATAATTATACATAATTATGTATGGACAAATTTCATACAAAATTTTGCATGAAAATTTTTCATCGGGTAGACGTTTGTTGTAATTTTCTACTCACACGTGTTACAGTTATATAACGTGAATATAACATAAAAGTAACATGTGACTAAAAAGTTATATAAGAGTTATATGTAATTCGTTAATACATATTTTTTTGTTGAATTCCAATGATTTATTTATTAGTATGGTTCAGATAAGTGATAATGTATGATTATTTTGTCTAAATAATAAAAAAAAACTGATATTTCATATTCCGTATTATTTCAATTATTTGTGAAACTCGCGTGGTTTCGATCCTATATCAGGCGGTCTCCATTTTTAGATCATGTTGTTCGATGCTTAATTTCAACGATCGTCCGGGAACTGGTGATGCGCCATAACGATATCTTGGTAGATAATATTTACAATATACTTATACAGTATATTTACAATATACTCTTATATCGTTCAAAAAATGTTATATACAGGGTGTCCCGCATAAGGCATGCCAAAAGAAAAATATAAGTAGAACAGAT